CCTGGTTCAAGATCTTCCAGTCATGAGGTTCCCAATTAGGACCCCCATCCGTTGTCACTACCGGGCAGGCCAACGCCCCAGCAGCATGCCAGTCCCCTTCTAACAAGGCACCACGAATCCCCCCACTCCATCGGGGCTGAGCTAAAAGCGGAGCTGGTTCTGGTGAGGGTGACGGGAGTGGGTGTGGGGGGGCTGCCGGCAGCGCTTCCTCTTCTTGTCATTGTAAATGCAGAGTTCTGTTCTGTAGCTTAACTTCTGTAATTTTCTTTCAAGTTCTCGGACGTTGTCACTGTCCTTTTCTGATGTTTGACTCTCTTGCTTTAATTCGGACAGAGCCGCTGTCTCACTCTCTGAGCCAGGCGCTGTACCGCATTCCGCGGGCACGCCCCCTTGTTCTCCAGCGCCGCCTGATTTCTCTGCCGCTTCTTGCGCGGTGGAGCAAACAGGAACACTTGGTGCCGTGCCCTTAATAGAGCGGAGCTGCTGATTAACCCCAAAGAAGGTGGCTAATCGTGACGGGCGGTTGGTTTCGGCAGGGACCGGCGGGGATGGTACAGCGCCGATAGCCGCCATAGTAGCAGCAGCTACTTTCTTTCCTGCTGGCATCTCCCGCAGAGCTTTTATGATCGTTCACCAGACCACCCCTTGCTGTCGTGCTTCACTGCCTTTATTGCCTCCAGTGATGGTCTCGTCCCACAATAAATCACCTACTTCGCGCCACTCCTGTTGGCTAAATATTAGCGAGGGGTCACTCATTCTGACCCGTTTTCTAGCCCACTTAATCAGATTGTGGTCATCTCCTTCTTTTTCACCTCTCTTAGAGAGCATACTAAGAAGCAGTTTTATTGCCGTGTCCGTTTCCATCGCGGTCTTACCTCCTGGCAAGGCTCAGTCAGCCAGCTGACTCGGTTGCTCGCATCTCCTTTTCGCAGCAGCTCACTTGCTCACCACTCTCCGGCTCCCAGATCGAAAGTTCATTCGATGCTGCAGAGTCTTCGATCCGTATTTAAACATCCGACTTCAGAGGCTATACAGCATCCTAGCCAACCTGAGGGTCCCTGTTCAGGGCGCCAAATGAAGAGGGTCCCAATAATAATAATACGGAGAGTGGCCCAAGTAACGACAATCACCCCGATGCAGCTACACGTCGTCCCCCTCTATTGCCCGAATCGCTTGGTTATATCCTCTGCACAGCAAGCACCCGCTGTTCACGCGCCCCACACCCCTTGATTATTGGTCATAAGCAACTTATCACACACCCAAAGGGAAACTGTGATGGGCAAGCATCTTGCGGTTTGCTGCATACTTGTGCTTAGCTTAGCCAGATACATAGCTGGGAAAATTCCTCATTAACAGATACAGTTCCTCCCAACACAGCCCTTCAAGGTCATCCTCGTAACACAGCTGTTGTTAGCAGTCTGATCTCAGGCCTGGCTTGTCCAAACCTTGCAACAAAATATCGTGGCCATTCTCTGTCAGAAATTCTACTACACACCCTTCATCTTTCTTGTTTTATCAATGTCTTCCAGATTTACCTCTTTGAGATGCTGGCCTCAGAAGTGTGTAGTGTTCAAAGTGGGGTAGAGCTATGTATTTACACAGTATCACAAGACTTTTTTATTCTTTTCCTAATTTCTAAGAGTATCATAACCTCAAGATCTCTCCCCAGTGGTAATAGCTCTAGTTAGTCATTTCATATGTGATTTATACTGCTAAATAAAATAGCGAATGAAATTCAGTATTGTCGCCTCTCCCTCAGTAGCTCAGCCTCAGCCATGCTAATAACTTGGTATTATCTACTAACTTTGCCATCAGTCTGATTTCTTCCTTTTCAGGTTGTTTATGGTGAACAGCACAAGTCCTGGTGTAGGCTTATATGACATGCTTTATGAAATAATAATTACACTATATCAATACAACCTTTGAGATTTTGACAAGCTTATTTGTTTTTTATTAAGAAGTAAGGTCATATCTTCTGTAATGCTATGCTGATTGGCATTCATTTTATATTCTATTTGAATCTTTACTGCTGATGGGTTTTCCAGTCTTCTAGGACTTAAATGTCAGAGCACTGGAGCTCATATTGGAAGCTGAGAGCTTCTTAGTGAACCTCTTAGATTTTGTACAGAAATTATCCGTTCTTAGTCTGATTGCTGCAATCTCCCACCACCATTACTGTTAAAATAGAAATAATTTGTCTCTAAAATGTATTCTTAATTTCTTCCAAATACAGAACAGAAATATTTACTAAATATTTCTGGCTCTATTTGACCTGCAGAGCTAAATTTTAAAACAAGAGATGGCACAAAAGCAAAAACTTGTAAGTTCATATATAAATCTTTATTTCAAAATGCTGCTTTTACCATCTTTAACAGATATTTTTAACGCTAAAACTCCTCTAAAAACTACACATTTAGAGTTTCCTTTGACAATAATATTGGACTGCATTTTATGCATTTGAAGCCAGCATACTGAACCTTCTTTGGCAGGCCAGTTTAAGAAGTCATCAGGATTAATCTTTATTTTCTTTTTGTGTATTTCAAAATGTTCTTTTGTTCATAAAGTACACACTATGGTTCTCACTGTGATACTGAAAAGGCTACTTGGTAAAGATAAGAAACCAGAGCTCCAATAAGCTATTTTGCACTTCAGCTAAGCAGAGATTAATTTAACATTAGTTACTTGCTTCCACACTGTTCTGTCAAAATGTTGATTACTGACTGAAAGAGCAAATGGTGCTTCTCGCACTCAAAAATTCATGTAAGCATTAAACTGACCCTCTGCATCTGACATTTCTGTGCATAGTTGTTATACATTTGAAACTGCTGAGGCCTTGGTAAAATCATATAGATTCTACTCAAGTGAAGCATCATTCCTATGAAAGAAACAATTTTTCATAGATGCTTTGGTTCTGTTAGGCTCCTCTACTGGAAAGTAAAGTGAAGATTCCGTTCAGCTTTTTAAAAGCAAGTAATATCAAAGGAAATGCTTTACTGAATCAGTCCAATATTCTGCCTCCTGAAGTAGCAACAAGAGATGTAATTCAGGGGAGCACATGAGCCTAACTGCTTTTGATTGCCCTTTTTCCCCCCTCATAGGTTCCTCACTATGGATAATGCTTGGACTAGGGATATTAAAGAGCACACCATGAGCAGCTTCTTTCAGTAAAAGTTGCTTAATCCCTCTTGAATCTACAAATGCTATCTGCCTCCACAGTCATGTGTAGCAGCAAGTTCATGTAATTCACCGTCTGCTATCTAAAGAAGAAATTCCACTTCTGTTTTAAGTTGATTTCGCTTTACTAAGTGCTCCCTAGCTTCTACCATTGTAGGATTTGGTGAGTAATGACCCAATCTATTAGCTTTATTTTATTTTTTTTTATTTTCTTTTTAATAAGTTCATTTCTAAATTGAATTGAATTGAAGAGTTCTGGACTTTTAAGACTCTTATGATAATGCCACTGTTCAGACCTCTTAATCATTTTGATTATCTAAGCTAAACCTAAATTGATAGACACAACACTATGATATGCAGCAACAGCATGCAGTGCTATCCTAGATCATCTTTTACCCTTATCAAGATAATAGAGAGTTCATGAAGCTATACTTCCAAAGGATGGAAAGAACACGTCACCTTTGAACAAGGAACTTTAGCAAAATACTGGATTCCCTATTTTAATGAATACTCAGTATTACTGCCTGTCTATAATCGTGGACCCTATTTATGGTATGGTGCTTATATGACTTCTTGTAGTACTTTAAAATAAAGATAAGGTTCCCAGTTCTCACCCTCAGCTGTTGTTCATGAGTTGACATCACCACAAAATAAACCCTCCTACTTACACTCCTGACTTCAGCATCCTCTGGAATATGACTGGCTTGTGTAAAATTTGGTTGCAGTGAGTGTGCCACTGACCCGGGCTCTGGCAGCTGGGGCCTGCTGCTGGAAAGCTGAAGTGGCTCTTTGAGTACACAGAGTGGCGTCTTTTATGACCTTGGTGAACACCTAGTTCCATTGTTCTGACAACTCAGGCATTTCAAGGGTTGCAGGCACTGGTTTGAGCATCTTACGTGAGATTATTTTTTTTATCAGCAGACACCTGCCATCTTTTTGTGTGTAACCAATTTTAATTCTTTGTATTTTTTGCCTAGAGGAGCATTTTCTTTTATTTCATTGGATGCTTGGCCTTATTCTATTATCTCTACTTTTTTGATAAGCTCTTTATCTTTTTTTTTTTTTTTTTTTTAATAGGAAGTGATCAAAAGCTTTGAGTGAGCCAGTTAAGAAAAAAAAAAAAAAAGAAGGGGCATGTATTTCCACTCAATGGCAGCAGGAAAATAACACAGGCTGTTGAAGACTTGATTTTCTCCATCTTATAAAATTAGCAGCTTTCAGTCACTGGATAACAGCTTACAGAGGATCTGTATGATGCAGGACAGTTCTTTAAACAGTGCTCTGATAACTATTTCATGTTGTCCATCGCAGTAGCTGCATACAGAATAACTTGGGGGGTGGGGGAGGGCTGGTGTTTGTGGTTTGGGGTTTTTTTGTTTTGGTTTGGTTTTTTTAGTGTTGCAGTGGCATTTCTTTAACTTGACAAAGGCAGCATTCTCTTGGTGGCCACGTGCATTGTAAGCACAGCAGCTGCAATGACAGAGTGCCCTCCTAAATAAGGCTAGTTCTAATACACACTTCTTTTGGAGTCTTCATGTTGTTGAAACTGGAGATACTTATTACAAGCTAATACAAGCTTTGGGTGACTATTTTTTACAGATGTTGCTGGGATGCTAGCATCAGTTATATCTAGAGATTAGTAACAAAAGTCTTGTTAATGTATTATTAGTGTATTGTTATTTCACTGTGGCTCTGTACACTTTTACCATCTAGTGCCCCTGACTTCAGTGGCTTAGAATAGGCTTTTCCAATCCTCGTCAACTGGACCTTGTTAAGACAAACAAGATAAGCAAAGGGGAAGGAGGATTAAGTAGGAAAATAATCTTTAATGTGTGACAGTTTCAACAGCTGTGTATAATTTTCTGACAGATTTCTTGGTCTTTTTCCCTCTACCATGAAGTTCCCCAACTCTTTTCCTTGGCTTTTAAAGAATCCCTAGTATTGGCACGGGCTTGAGAAGGGAGTACCTGACCAGCTGCTCTCAATTCCTGTTTACCTAAACAGCTGAAGGTAAGTGGCCTTGGCTGTTCCAGTGCTGGCTTCTTTCTGGGGCTGAGACATCACTGTGTGTGAGCTCGTGGATGCATCTAGAAAGGTTTGGCCATCACTTTCTACAGTGCTTCCCATGGTGGCTTCATGAAGGGGAAAGCCTCCTCGCTTGCAGCCAGTGTAGAGTAGAGCAACTAGTGGCATTAATGTGCTAGATGCAACAGAAATGGGCTATGTCATCAGCTTCCCATGCTGGTGCACAAGGCACACGTGCACCTGAAATGGTGGAAGGCCCTTGGCCTGAGGAAGAGAACAGCGCTTCTGGTGTTCTGCTGCATCAAGCTTGAGCAGGGGAACTGAAGAGAATTCCCCTGAGGTGATCGCATTTAGGGTCTTAGCTGCTATTTCAGGAAATAAATTCTTCCACTAGGTGCAGATTCAGAAGAGTGGAAAACAGTGTGGAAGGAGCCAGTTAATCCTATTTTGCAATGGGATTAATTGTTGTCATGTGCTATTGTAATTTTAATGCCATAATTCCTACCTCCTTAGGAAACAGATGTCCCTCAGTCTGACTGGCTCTGTTCCAGGATTTGGTCTTGCCCTATTAACCATGGCATTGCTAGAACATATGCCTTTCTCCTCCCTTGGTAAGAACTTACAATTTCAGACTAGAGGCACTGTTTTCCTTTCCTGATCTGGTGGTGCTTCTTTTCTGGGGAATCTGAGATGACATGCTTTCTATTTGATACTCAGAAATTATAATAGCCTTTGTGCCAAAAAATAATGAATCCTGAAGTGGAGTTAACAGCATCATTAATGGCTTGTGTCTAGAAGCATCTTTCTTTTGAAAGTTTTCACTATTCTGTGTAATGGAATGCCTTGCTCCTTGATTTGGAAACTTTGGAAACAGGGATTGTGTGCAAAAGCAATCAGCTTTTTCTGATTTCTCGCTACTGCAGAGGATCCACACCAGATCCCTATTCCATCTGTAGGTTTTTTACTTTTTGCTTTATCCTGCTGGCCTGTATGAAGCAGTAATGGAACAAATGAGTCAATTCCTGTGTTCAGGCTTTGGAAAAGTGAGAGCACTGCAAAGAAAATAAATTCACTGCCTAAAGGCAGTCTTGCCTTTTTATTTTAAACCAAACAAATGTTTTAACTATGATTTGTGTTTGTTTTTTGGAGGTATAAAGGTTTTTGTGTTATACAGACTTTTTAAGGTGAGGCATTGTTTTTTATTTGAATGCATCAGGTTGCAAGCCGTCTGTTATAAACCATGGGTAACTAGTTTCAGTGATTAATTACTCATGGTTAAAATTGTGCATTACTTCTAGGTTGAATTTGTTTGTGCTTTCCACCCACTATATTGCATTCTGCCTATATCTACTAGGTCTGAGTTTTTTTCTGAAAGAAATCTTACTACCTGCAGCCGTCTTTTCTCCTCGCCTCATAATGCATTCTGTTGTATAAATCAGACTAATTTGGGGTGTTTTGACCTCAAACAATGCTTGTTACTGTTCGGATCTTTTCAGGTTTATAATCTTAGAATCTGCCTTTCAAAAATTAAAACCCTAGACACAAAGAAAAACAAACAAAAAACCCCAACAAAACTCTAGTAGTCTCTGCAATTAACATATTATTGATCGCTGTCTTACTCTAAATAAATAGCCTGCAAGACATCCACAGCTAGTTCTGCGAGCTGAGCTCATGCACGCTGTTCTCAGCTATGAAGTTACTAGTTTCTAAAATATAACTAACATTGCACAAGTATGGTGTAAATTTCTTACCCTTGTCTGTAATGTGTCCAGTCCAGTAGACAGATCAATGATCTTGGTACCAATCATGAATTTCAGTTAAAAATTAGTGTATTTTCTTGCAGGTAATTGATTTTTTGATAACAAGATTTATATTAAATTCCCCTAGAAATATCTTGAACAAATATCTGCTCATCAGCTGTTCCTCATTTAAAACTGATATTAACTGTCCCAATGTAAGCCAACAGTCTGGAATGTGGAACTGTGTTGTTTTTTTTTTTTTTCTGCCTGACAATACAAATGCATCAGACCTATCCTTGGCTGCCTGAATAGGCTTCCCCATAGAATCATGAGTCCTCGTCCAGATCTTGATTCCTGCTTCAGGATGATCGGTGGCTTGAGTTCAGGGATAGGATGGCTCCTAAAATTGCAGGGTAAATAGCTTGTAATGAAAAAATAGGGAGCAGGACTGCTGCATGCATGGAAACGACACATGCATATGTGGTTTCCTGGAGGCTAAATTTGGTAATGTAAGAGTTTCTACATATGGTCCAGCGGTCACCACAAGCTTATTTCTTGTTTTGTATGTAACTCTGATTCTTTGACTTGCTGCCTCTGAAGTACTACAGGCATATGTGTTCATTAAAGGAAAATGTTCAGCACAACCAAAGATTCCTGCTGTCTTGGGAGGGAAGTGTTAGAGAATGAGCTATCTGCCATAGGTGTTATGTGTGGGGCTCATTTGCTGCAGAGATGCAGTAAAACTGCTATGATAGAAAACACAGCCAATACAGGTAACTACTGTGCTCCACCCCTCTCATTTCATTAGTCCTCACTTAGGACTGGTGTGTATGGGAAGCCTGCTAGCAAAACTGTCAGTACAATGCTGGTGGTAGAATTCCCGATACAGGCATACATACTTGAGAATAAGTCTTCACAAACCAGATTATGCTGATGTAATTATTTACCTAGAAATAAACTGATACCGTTATTTTTTACTCAGAATTATTCCTTATACAAAACACAGACAAAAATAATGCTTGGTGCGGTTTTCACTTTGTTTTCTGCATTTTATCTCTGCAGATAACTAACTTTCCCATTTTGCAAGTTTCTTAGATCAAAGCTCCTGGAGTTGAAATCAGCACAGTCATGAATTCATTGGTAGATTTTTCTAAAGTTAGAATTTTCCCTACTAAATTATTGCTCTTTCTTCTAAAACCAGACATTGTGATTAAAAGTTGTTGACAGTTCATGGAATTCAAATTCTTGAAGTATATGTGAAGGCAAAGAATGAAGAGTAAGTGGGTTTGTGCTGGAACAGTCTCTTGATTCCTTCAAGGAAAGAGGAGGTAGTGCATTGTGCTGAACTAGTTCTGCTGAACTATCTTTCATAGATGATAATTCATGGTGTTAGGATCTGTTTGAATGGACCTTGAGAGATGATTAACCCTTTAATTTCATAGAAAAGCATTGTGGTTTAAGCCCAGCCAGCAAATAAGCACCATGGTGGCTGCTCGCTCACCCATCCCTCCCTGCCCCAGTGGTTGGGGAGGAGAGTTGGAAGAAAAAGGTAAAACCTTGTGGGTTGGGATAAGGACAGCTTAATAGGAAAACACAAGGAGAGAGGAAGTAATAATAACAGTAATACTAGTAAAAGAATGTATAAAGCAAGTGATGCACAATGCAAGTGCTCACCACCCGGAACCCAATGCTCAGCCCATTCCAGAGCTGTGATCCCAGCTCCCCCAGTTATGTACTGAGCATGATGTCATATGGTATCAAATATCCCTTTGGCTAGTTCAGGTTAGCTGTCCTGGCTGTGCCCCCTCCCAGCTGCTTGTGAAAATTAACTCTATCTCTGCTGAACCGAGATCAAAAAGGAAAATAATTACAATATTGTTGGGGAAGGGTTGAACCCTTTTTCAGGATACAGAGTAAAAGAAGCATATTTTGTTGTTTTGTTTTCTTCAGTACTTTGTGTCCTGGTAGATGTGGGTGTTTTCTTGTTTGTTTTCTTTTTAAAAGAAATACTAAGTCTACACTGGCCTGTCTTTGAAGTAGTGAATACTCTTGAGCTTGTGAATAACTCAGTGATTTTGATTCTTTCAGTCCTTTGGTAAATGGATTTGGTGAAATGCATTTTGAATCCAGTTAAAACAGTGGGGTTTTTTTCCCCCAGCAATATTGGTCTTTATCTGTAGAACTTGCTAAGACAGACAAGCTGCGTGAGACTTAAATTTCTCATGGTTAAAAAAAAAAAAAAAGACAGGAAAATATCCCTAAACACAATACGGCAAGGCCATATTTTTTTCACGTGATCTGTTCTCAGTGGTTTTATTCATATTTTTGTAAAATGAGGCCTGTTCTGGATTTTGTCTGCCTTTACTTTTACAGTAGCTGTTGTAGAAATTAGCTCATTAGGGCTGTTCACAATGTTTCTTTACCTTCAGCTAGGTGAATGGACTGGCCATTAGGTGTGACTTAATCCTGCCTTCGCCTCTCAATTTTTATTGAGTACTAATGATTCCGCAGGAAAATCTGCAGTAGACAGTTTGACTCCTATAAAGAAAATTCTCCTGGGATTACTGTTCTAAAGACAGAATTTGCTTCCAGTTTTATTCCTATTTCATGGAGATGAATAATTCAAAGTGGTTATTGATTTTGGGTTGTGTTGTTTTTTGGTTTGTTTTTTTTTTTTTTTAACTCCCCTCCATTTGTTTTTCATCTCTGGTTTCAACTGAGCTACATCCTTGCAAGAAAATGTGTGCTGCAGCGCTGAACTCGTCCTACAGGAGGGCACAAACCCAGGAGGGAATAGTGCCTAAAATGGATGTCCTTTTTGATTGATGTCTAAAGAACATTTGCTTATTTTGCATCTCTTTTCTGTTTCTTGACTATTAGGTCTTATAAGCAGCACATGACTGGTAACTGTAATATCCCAAACATACACACAATTTACTAGCACTGCTTTGGAGGGACTAGCATTTTATCTCTTTAAATTTAAAATATGCATGGAAGAACAGTTCCTGTTCTGTAATCATAACATATGGTTATTTCTTGTGGAATCATTGCATGTAGTAGCAACTAGATCCTGTGGCTGTTAGGTTTTTTTAAGTTTTTACTTGTCTTCAGAATTAGATTCATTGTCAGAGAAGCCTCCATACAATGCCAGTTAAGTCTGTGTGAATCTGACAGGTTATGGGTTCTGAAGGTTCAAGGAATGTGGCAGAGCTGTTTTGCATTGCTTACAGAAAAATGCCCACATTT